TGCTGAAAACATAGGAAACTGAGGCATTAGTAATGATATCTGTCAAAGTGTGGGTTACTGGCTGCCACACAGCTAACTGAAAGGACACACAGATCCAACCAGAAAAAATAAAGCTAGGAACAGCGAAGAGTTCAGATGTAAGGGTTTGATTTGGATGTGGTTTTATATTCTGAGGATCATTAGCTCTGCCTGCAATCACTAAATGCCTTGCACTCCAGGAAGAATAAAGGTTATTAATCAACAACATTCAATAATGTAAGCAAGCCCTTCCCAGCATTTGTACAGAATTCTCTGCTTTCCACCTCCCCGTCATAGGTGATCTGTGGTGTTCACATCTGTTACATTAATACATTGGGAAACTGCACAGATGGGGGAGATGTCGCAGAGCAGCAGCTCACGTTTTGATAGTATGTTGAGGTGTCTTCCCAACTACCCATAGGGCAGTGGCTTTTAAGTGTGGGGCTGCAACCGGAGAGGCCAGTGGCCATGCATCTCTGGACAGCTGATGTGATACATAATCTACAGCTTCAGCTCTACCAGCAAATTCAAATCCTAGTAACTTTTCCAGCTACTAGGAAGAAATATATGTGAGGAAGCTGTAGAACATCCTGTGGCATGGATTTTTGTGTGTTACAATGAGCGAGTGCACTTGCTAAACCATTCCTGGCTGCAGTTTGGTGGTACAGCACTCCAGAAACCATTCCCCACAGGTGGTTTTCATGCAGCTGTCTTCTTTTGGAGGCTAAACCCGATTGTTTCTTGCACAAATGCAGCTTGTTTCAAGCCAGCGGACCCCCTAGATGAGTGGGCAAACTTAATGTACTAGGGTAGATATAGTTGCACCATACCAGATGTTCATCTGGTGCTGTGCTGATGAACGCTCACTATGGCTTCTCCTTTAATATCTCTTTGTGCTTGGGGAGTTCAGAATCTAACCCAGGTGTTCCTTTTTATTTTGTGTAGGTGGGTTCATTGTAGTTAGCTGTATGCATAGTTTTAACACTAGCAATAAGTTATATAATGTAGCAGCAATAATCTATACAGTATAGTAGTAGTAAATTACATGCGTAAGTATGTCTTAGGGAACTTATACATATAAGCATTGTTGAGCTGAATTATGAAAACTATTACTGTGTCCAACCAGTTGCTTAGATAAGAAATGAAGGAAAACAGATATACCATTGCTCATTTGGGAATCTTCTAGAATTTTGCATAATTAAAATGTAATAGAAAGTGGGTA